GCTGGCAAGCACCTGGCCCAGAAAGCTAGACGGATCGGGGGCTGGCATGGCCTCCAGCAGCAGCAAAAATTGGACCAGGCGTGTCCCAAGACTCAGGTACCTGCTGACGGTTTGCGGCTGTACTTGCCGCATGGGGCGATGCCGATACTGCCCTTCATTGTCGTCAAACAGACGCGTCACCGCAGCGGCGGCCAGGCCCTGATCCGAGAGCTGCTCGTAGGCCGTCCAGAATAGCTCATGCATGCCCGACTCGAGGAGTGCCGACGGTGTGTTGTGGCCCAGTTCGACCATACGCTCTGGCTTCAGCTCGTTGATGACCAGCGTCATGCCCACGCTGTCGTAGAACGGATGCATCTGGTGAACGCCGTGCGGGCAGCGCTTCTCCTCGGCCTCTGAGGCCATGGCCTGGGCGCTTGAGATAAACTGCTTGAACCGCTGCTGCTCCTCGAGCTCCTCTTCGTTTTCGCTGACATCGGCTGCCGAGGCGTCGTGGCTTTCTTCGACAATGACCTCGACACAGCGGGCTCCAGCACCGCGCAGCGGCTTTTGCAGCTTGACTCGTCGAGGCGGCTGCTTGGCCTCTGGTTCGTCGGGATGCTCAGCTACGATGTGATTCCACAGACTGCCTTTTGTCGTGAAGCATGCCTGACACAGGGGGCACCCCACACCGTCCAGAATGGGGATGCCTTCAATGGGCATACGAGGCTCAGATTCTGCCCCAAGGTCGATCGGTGGCTCCTCGGGCTGCAGCGGGCGCAGGAGTGCCATGGCTGCATCAATATCTTCTTGGCTGCACCGCACATGGTGCTTTTTGAACAGATGATGCGTCACCCTGCCTCTCAGGACATGACCGCACTGCGTGCACACTGGAGACTCAAAGACGGGGGATACAAGGCACCCAATCTCGTCCATGAAAATTCGCGCCGCGGCAATGCCGTGCTGTTCATCAAGCTTGACCACACGTTTTTTCGTGCGCGTCCGAGCAGGTTTTTGACGATTAGGAGGGCAGGCGGCAGGCGCAGCCGGTACTGAAGTCGGCATGTTCTCATGGTTGTGCCGGAGATGAGACTTGAGGGTGTTTGCGCGTTGATGGTGGTAGAGGCATCCGTCGACAGGGCAATGAAAGTACCCGTCCTCGTTTCGGTGTTGGATAATCACTTGTCCGTTTAATGTGATTCGCGTGCTTTTTTGATGGACCTATGTGCCGAACAGTGAGACGTGTCGCATTTTTTTTGTGTGTTTTTCTGTCTGTGTGTGCTTTTTTTTTGGCGACGTGATAAAGCGACCTCAGGAACAACGTACCCGAGAAACGTGTTGCTCTCGTGCCAGACGATTAGGAAATGCACGCTCGCAATGACAGCACAACACTTCTTGGTTCTGTGCCATGCTGCGTTGGTGTAAGGAGCAGAGGGTGGCGAGGACTGCAAGAGGGCAAGGCGCGGCAAGAGCAGATAGCTCAGGTTCAAAAATGAATCTTGGTGCTGTCTCAGAGGGTGAAATTTTTGTTACACTTTGGTTTTCTTTTAAATGTGGAAGGTGTAA